GGAAGGGAGAGGGAGAGAGGGATAGAAACATCCATGATGAGAGAGAATCATGGATCGGCTGCCTCCTGCACACCCCCCACTGGGGATGGAGCCCGCAGCCCGGGCATGTGCCCTGACTGGGAATCGAATGGTGACCTCCTGGTTCACAGGTCAACCCTCAACCCCTGAGCCCCGCCGACCAGCCGGGCTGCCATATTGTACACTTAAACGTCGGCTGTCACGTGGCTGCTTGTACCGAAGACCTCAGAGCTGTGAGACCTTGCATGTTCTTCTCATCTTCTCGATTCTTCCCCAGGGCCTGGGACGTAGGAAGGTCGCCCCGGAAAAAAGGCAACACGTTTCGAGAAATTTCAATCTCTGGGCGAGCGACTTTGTCCCGTCTTATCTCGACGGCTTTTCCAATAACCAGATATCGTACGTCTGCCCGGAGACGGTGGTGGTCCCGCTTTTCAGGCGCTTCCCACGACAGTACAGCGAGGTCTGGGGCACGTGGAAGTTTATCCCCGAGCAGAGCTACGTGGAGTTCTTGAAAAAGAAGCCGAAAGTCCGGTTCGCTATTGACAAAAAGGCCGCCTCTCCGCTGGAGCCCTTGTGCCTCCAGGAGAGCCTTGATGAGCTGAGTAAGGCAGGCATGTCACTGGGCATTCCGCCCAGCACTACCAGTTAACGCGAGGCTTGTCAGGGTTAGACAGTGTGCGTGCCTGAACGCCAGGGCAGAGGCCAGTCTCCCACGGAGAGACCAGAAAGAGCCGATTCTGTGACCACACCCCGCCTACTAAGATCTACTTTTTTTTTTATTTTTAATGAGGTTGAAAAGCATTCAAGCCCTTACCCAATAAAAATATGTGAATGTGTTGTAAATACATTGAATGCATTTCAAATAGGCCACATTCACATTTAGGGGAGTTGTAAAGGTTACATAATTGAGATGTGGTTATATTTTCACTTTGAAACGTCAAACAATACAGAAAAAGTAGGCGTTCCCCTTGGTTTTAACACATCTCCGATCCTTGTCCTGTCCTCATGAGTAAATTAATTAACCGTTCGTTTTTATTCTGTGCCTTTACCATCTCATAGATACACGTGCAAAACTATGTAAAAATTTAACATAAGCTGTGTCGCAGAGCACACGGCACTCCATAACTTCCTTTTGATATGGAACAATGTGTCTTGGGGTAGTCACGGTGTCAGTGTGAACAGATTTGCTTTTTATTTTTTAAAATATATTTTTATTGATTTCAGAGAGGAAGGGAGAGGGAGAGAGATAGAAACATCAATGCTGAGAATCAGTGGTCGGCTGCCTCCTGCACGCCCCCTACTGGGGATGGAGCCCACATCCCGGGCATGTGCCCTGACAGGGAATCAAACCATCACCTCCTGGTTCCTAGGTCATCAGTCAGCCACTGAGCCACGCTGGCTGGACCGATGTGCCATACTTTTAAAATTATCTTCTTATTAATGAGAGTTTGAATTGTTTCTAATTTTTGGCTGTCGGACCCAATACTACATGAGCCCACTTTGAATTATCTTTTAGATACTTAAGGAGAGATATTTAGGGACAAAAAAAATGGTACTTGTTATTTTTTTAATTTGCATTTCTCTGGTTATGAGTGAAACTGAGCATCTTTTCCTGCGGGTTGGCCATTCATATTTCCCTCCTGAAACTGTCACCATCATCCTTTACCCAAAGTGTCGTGTTCATATTTGGATATTTCTCCGATAGATGAATTTTAGAATAAGCTTGTCAAGTAAATCCATTGGCCATTTCATAGGAATTTCCCCAAATTTAGATAGATTTATGGGAGAATTGACATCTTTGTGCCGTGGTGCAGTTCCCCATTTATTTAAATCTTTATGTTCTTCAGTAAACTTTTATAATTTTCTTCACATACGTCTGCCATGTTTCTTTTCTGTGTTTATCCCTGTATATTTTGAACTTTTATGGCTATTTTGAATGTTATTTTTTTACGTTACAGTTTTAGTTTGGTTTTGCCTGATGCGTAAGAAAGATGATTTCTGTAAGTAAACCTTGTATTTTTAACTTGCTACACTTCTAATAAACAAACACACACACAATGTATTAAAATAAAGTTCGAATACTTTCTCAGTGGGTTCTCTTGGATTTTCTGTGTAGATGACTGTCACTGGCAGAAGTGAGAATTCACATCATTTCTCTCCAGGCCACATCCTCACACTCAGGGTTACGTGGCTGAACTCTGCCGTGGCCAGTTCTCCAGAACTCATGGTCTCTGCCCCCCAACACAGGAATGCTGTCCTTCCATTTCCTTTTCTTCTCCCAGGGTGTGCCGAGCCAGCACGGCCATGGGTGAACCTGAACTCAGGGCCCTGTTCCCCATACTCAGCCCCATGTTGGGCGCTATATGTGCCAAGCCAGCACAGCCATGGGTGAGCCTGAGGGGGCGGTGAAGGATGCAGAAGACAGACAAGAGAAGAAAGCTGGGCGCTAGGTAGGATGCTGCCCTCTCTGATGGAGAGACAGCGCCACAGCCTGCAAGCCGAGTCTTTATTTTATAGTCAGATTCCACGAGGCAAAGTAAGGGCGTGGTCACACGTTCTCACAGGTTTCGAGTCTATTCAATCACACGCACCTGATCAAGCTTTGTTTACTTGCTGCCCCTCCCGCAGCCCACATCACTCAGCCACGTGGGGCCACAGGTGCGGACCATAAGGTCAAGCTCACAGCCATAGCCTTTGGCTGTAACTGTGCTGGGACTTGCACGTGGCTTTGCCACGAGAGGACCGGGCCCTCTCATTAGCCCCAGGCTTGAACCTGTCCGAACGCTGTAGCCGCTCTCCACAAGGGTGTCCTCACAACCCGCACCTGCTGAGCCTCTGCGCCTCGACTGCCCCTTCTCTACCCCAAACCCACCAACCTCCAACAAGAGTGACCCCAAACTCAATTTACTGGAGGTGAAATCTTAAAAACTACCAACAAGGTGCACAGCACCAGGTCTGCAATTACACGCAGGAGAGACGTGTGGGTGGGGAAAGACATTCCTCCCTCTAGGCTTCGGGGTTAAAGCGTGGCTGGGGGGAGGGGGTATAGTGACCGTTTATAAAAACGCAAATTAGACAACTTGCCCTTAAAACCAGTCTTTTTTCACTTGTTTCTGACATAAAAAATAAACCACACGGATCGATGGTGTCCCAGGTTTCAATCCAGTGAACCGAGAACAGAAGGACACAGCACATTCATGGGGGGGGAAAGGGGGGGAGGGTAGGTCTTGGGGGCTCCAGGGTTGACACCCCAAATACAATACCCCAGCTCACAAAACGAAAGTCTTCAATAACCTGGCATAGTCAGCGACCTGCTGCTGTGGTTAGTTCTCTTACTGTGTTGCTTTGAACAGAGGACTAAACAGCCAGCTAAACAAACCCCCACTTACTAATCCATCACATGCAGGTGTTTATAGATTTCTTCTGTTTTAACGAATTAGACTTGGACGTGTGCCATCCTGGAAATGACTTAGACACTGAAAGAAGGGCTGATGGCGTAGAAATAACATTTCTGAGTGATGCGCCCAGGATCATTCTCGAACAATAGCAGGAGGCGTCAGTTCCTTACTGTGACTATGATAGGCAAGCACATAGCTACCAAAGGCTCATAGACATGATCCTTAAAAGCGCAGAGTGATGACTTCTTATATATAACCCACTCTCTTTTTAAAAATATTTTTTAGGAGGGAGCCCCTAGGAGGGAGCCTCTTAGGAGAAAACCCCTGAGGGGGGCCTGGATGCCCAAGGCCATTGGATGAGGCTCCGTCTGGACACGGTACTCGTGGGGCCTCCGCTCTGGTGGGATAAGAACCCAGAGCTCCGACCACCCAGCGCTCCAGCGCGGCTGCCCCCACCCGGGCCATCTCGGGGCCCTGCCGGACCTCCCCTCTGACGCCCCTGCCACGGCCTGACCGGCGGACACCCATCTCTCCTCCTGCAGACGCTCCAATGGCGCGGCCTTCCCACCAGACACTCCCTCTGCTCACTGCCATGGCACACGCTCCCCTCCGGGTGGAACCTGCGTGTGACTCCCCTGGCTTATTGGGGTGTCTCCCCGGACAAACCTGGCATTGCGGAAAGACAAGCGAGCGTGCGGGACGCTTTCTGGACGCTCCCTGCCCAGGACCGCTGGGGAGCAGGCTCCAGCGCCCAGCCCAGCAGGAGCAGCCCCTCATTCCCTGCAGCTGCTCCCAGGATCCGGCGCCCACAGCGGGATAACCCTTCACAGCCCAGAGCGCCCGGCCTTGCTCTGCCGAAGGGGAAGCGCCGGGGCGACCTTGCACATTCTCCTGCGTTGATCGCCGTCGGAGACCGTGACTGCTGTCAGCCACCAGTGGCGTGGCCCGTCCTGCTCCACCTGATGCCACTGCGGGTCCCACAGAGGGTGGGGAGTCCCAGCATCGCCCCGGGAGGGATCTCAACGTTCCTCCCACGAATATCCTGTGAGGAAACCAGCACCCAACCCCTGTCCTCTCCTAGGACTTGAAAGGAAGGAGCTGAGAGTTTGTGCCTTCACTCGATCAGGATAGTCTTGGTGAGAGCAGGTACGTCCGCCAGCTGAATCTGGGCTGATTTCCGGCTCATTCCTCCTCCGGCCCTGCCCCCAGCCCTGCCCCCCACTTCCTCTCCCACACTGCCCCTCCCCTGGGGCCTGCTTGGGTGGGCACCTTCTGGTGGGTACCAATGTGAGTAAATGCTCGGCATGCCCAAACGCCCGTGGGCTGACGCATCGCTCCATGACTAGTTTCTAAGCCTCTAAGCCGCTGCTCTGGACATGGGGGTGCCAGGGGGAGCAGCCAGACTCATCCTCGGTTTTAGTGCGTGAGACCTGGACTGTCAGAGACCAAACGCAGCACCCTTTGCAGCCGCCAAGACAGCAAGGCAAGGATGCCGCTCAAGGGACAATACGTGGAAAGGTCATACTTATCATTTTATTAAGCTGTGATCGGGGAGATAAATGTCACAGGAATGTGTTTAATATCGGATACAGATTATATTGCAGAACAATTATGAATTTGTGTTTCTTGCGTACATTAAAATGTGGGCACGCACGTGTAAGGTTAGAAGCGGAGTAGTGTTTTATCTGCTGGAGGAGGGGCTGGTTTTGATTCTTTCTCTCCTCAGGGAAAAGGAGAACAGCAAACTCTCCCCTGAAGCGCGGAGCGTGTTCTGGTCACGTGTGGGCGCGAGCAGCTGTTCTGGTTTCATTTATTTACTTCCTGAGCGTGGAGTGAGAGGTAAAGTGGGGAATTCATGGCGTCAGCGTGAGGGGTTCTGGGTGTGATCAGCCGGTTCCCCACCTTCTCGTTGGGAACGTGAAGTCGGGGTGTTCGCCCTGGGAAAAGGGAGGCGGCGCCCAGCCCCTGCTCAGTGGGCGCTGGCGAAGCTGGGGTGCAGCAGAGGCACGGGGGGCAGAGGGGGACAATGTGTGGGTGGGGTTGCAGCAGCCTGGATTCCAGGCAGCTGGGGAGGCGAGGAGCCCTCAGCGGTCCGCTGGGCCCGAGGCTCAGCTCCGTGCAGGGGAGACGGGGTGAGAGCTTGATGGAGGAACGGGGTCAGCAGAAGGATTTTTTCCTCTTTAAACAACAAATTTATTATCTTGTGGTTCTGGGGGTCACAGTCTTAAATGGGTCTCCATGGACAACAATC